TGCTTCTGCCTATCGAGAACCACATTTTTAAGGGGGCATAATCATTAAATGATGATCATCTCGCCTTAGATGCGACGATAAGGAATGTCAGACTCTTACTGAATAAAAATGGTCCATTCCTTCTGTACCAGGTTGAAACCGCGACACGTTTTTGGGTGAAAATTGGCCCTATTGGACCAAATCTGAAGTGGTCTGTTGGCTCTTGACATAATATAAATTGTAGTTTGTTCGCTCACATTGGATTTAAACTGTTAAAGTACCTGCTGCAGAAAACTTAAACGATTATGAGTGATATATAATACCTCATGTTTTTCCCAGAAAGTTGAAAACTGTAAATATGGTCATAAGTGATAACTACTTACACTTGTAGGTAATATATTTGCTATTTCACATGTATTAACCTTAGCTGGACACAACCCGCTACAGAGTATGACTTGCACGCTCCAAACACATAAACCTATTATAGAGAATGTAAACTTCTTTACAAACTTTTATATGAGTAAATGTACCTACTCAATAAAATTAAATTTTTATACCTTATTTCTGGTAAAATATTCTGTCTTTAGAGTTTCGATAAATCGATTTTGACTGAACAAATTGACTGAATACAAGGAAAATTGCCATTACGAGTACTATAAAGTTTCATTAACATTTCCAGCGGAAAATTATTTTTCTGTTGTGTAAAACCTTACTCCGTTTTAAGAAACTCAACAAAAATGAATTTGCGAAGTCATCCCAACTACTCCTAATTTTTGCGTTGAATAATGAAACGTCTTTAGGGGTTTCAGAGTTACACGTTTCATTCCAAAAGTGCCTCATCGCTCTGTCGCATGTTAGATTGGAAATATCAGTTTAATGTAGACTTTTTATGGCGCTTTTGTAAATCCGCTTATCTGTTTTTGCATGGTTACTGAAATAACTATATTCGATGTTAAATTTATAATAAATACAATTAGTAAATCCAAGTGCACGTCGTGGTTGTCTGGGGGTCATCCGAGTATACATAGGTACAGTAGGTACGTTATATGATTATTTAGACACCACAGATATAAGGTGAAGGAAAAACATCGTGAAGAAACCTGGAATTATAATTTCAAATTATAAGCTCAAAATTGCCAGTTCGCTTTGAGCGAGCTTGGTGATAAATGCTTAAACCTTCTCTGTGTAAGAAGAGACCTTTGCTGCAGTGGGCACTTACAGGTTGATGATGAAGTGAAATACAAGTGACTGTGCTGTTGTTATGCTTATTATAAATAACCACGAAATAATATTCATATATCTATGACAATGATATAAGGGAAAGCCATGACAGCAGATGAAACAAGCCGATGGTTCGTGGTTCACCATAGTTCACCATAGTGCGGCATACATCATAATATTCAGACAACTTTCGCTTTTGTCTCGAGCCGGGCCCTTACAAAGTATTTTGTGATCACCATAAAACAAAATATATATCTCTTTAATATTATTGAGATTTTCAAATAACATGGAGAAAATGTTTATTGAGCCAAGATAGCATTACTCTGCAACATGGGAAATAGGCATATTGGACGTTAAGTTAGGTATTAGCACCTATGCTAAGAATTTCAAGAATCTAGTACCACTGGTATTTTGAGGGCTAGTCAGTTAAAACATTTTATTTATTGTAAGTGCTGAAGTAAACTGCCCCGAAGAAAACAGTCGTGAAACCACCACAGCGTTGTGTTTCGTCGTGTCAGTGAGGTAACCGGATGCCCAATCCTTCCCCTCCTTCAATTCCTCTCCAATCCCCAAATTTCGAAAACCCTAAGCCCCAAAATTTTATTATATATGGATTTGGGATATTTTGAATTTGGGGAGGGATTTACCTCCGATAACCTTACTCACACGGCGAAACGCAACACTGTGGTTGTTTCACGCCGATTTCTGTGAGGCCGTGGTATCATTCCGGTCGAGCCGACCCATTCGTGCCGAAGCATGGCTCTCCCACAATATTTTGACTAGGTATATTCCATTCTTACAAGAAAGGTTAAATCCACCTGTTACAAGACAATATTTTCTACAAATGTGCACAATGAATGCGAAGCTATTTTTATTGATAACACACTTAAAACCAGTCCGCTAAGGATTATTGAGCTCGCGGTAGAAAGCGACTTACTTCTCCGTCTATATCTTGGTGATGACTCACACAAACATATAATTATCTTTATCTATAAAAACACATTACATCGTCATGGAAGTATTGGCTAAAGTTTGCCTAAGTATTAGCAGGCCTAGTTAAAGATAATGCTACCAAGAGAGATCGCCCAAAGTTTGAATGATGAAATGAACCAAAAGATGAAAAATTACATCTCAAAAGGATGATCAATTTGTCCAAGGGTGAAGCGGATTGCTTACCATCAGGTGTAACGCCTGCATCTTTGCTCACGAATACATAAAAAATATTCGATGAGCGTTAAGCTGCCACCGATTTTTTTTGGCATATTTCCTGTGCTATGGTTGCGATTACAAACAAACAATTTTACAAGAGTAGTTCTGTGCGGGATTCGAACCCTCGACATGTTTTAAGGCAGCCGGTTGCCGAGTCAGATAAGATCTCATCCACATCTACGTTTACAGCATAATCATCATACGATATATTCGTTAAAACAACAATGAACAGAATAATTATTTTCATAACAAAATGAGGTAGCTCCCAATGTCACCTACTGTTCTACTTACACCAATTTATTAAAGTCGTGAAATGCTACAAAGTGTGACGGCTAAACATAAATATGTTTATGTGGTTTTTAATTATAATGTTTATGTGTTTAGTTGTCACGGTGGTCCGAAAGTTAAGGCGCCCATTTTTCGTATATGAGGACGCGGATTCCAAACCTGACAAGTACCAATATGACTTCTTGCGAGTCATTTGTAGGGATAAAGTTTAACTAGCGTTTCATACGGTTAATGAAAACATCGTGAAGAAACCATTTTTTCTTATGAGGGGAAAATCATCGAATGACTTCTCCCGCTCTGGCGAGAGGGAGTGCCAGACTCTTACTGACTAAAAACGCCCCTGTTCCTTCTCCTGCTCTGGGCCGAGGCCGTGGTGCCTCATTGCTCTTGCCCCGCAACCCTGGCTAACAATCCGCCCTATAGGGGACCTACAGACGGGGCTGTGGTGACGCGGGACGCTACCTGAACCTGGACTGTAGTGTGATTCTGTAAGACTTCATTCTAAACTTCGAATCTGAATCCGCCGTGAGTAGTAGTACACTAGCGCTACACTTGCGAGTTGAACTAAATTTACCGCAACATTTTGATAGATAAAGTATGAGATGACGTTAAAAGTGACATTCTAAAATTTAATTTCCCCGTCGCTTCGACGCTCACTTCGGACTCGAACAAGATTCAAAATCAAACAAATTTTATAGAATCGACGTGCTGATTTCAAATTATAAGTTTGAAATCGCCAATCTGCGTTGAGCAAGCGTGATGATGAAAGCGTAAAAGCCGCAAAAACTATACCTTATTAATAACAATATTTCTTAAAGCGAGCGAAGCCGCGGAAAAAAGCTATCCTTATATAATATTAGTATAGATACTCACTACTTATTTAACAAACAAATGTAATATTCCAAAGAAACAAATGAAATCTGGAACGTGACAATGGCTTCAAGACTTGTACCCTTTGCTTCATCACACATCCTTCAAAGCTACAACTCAGAGTGATGTACCGCCTGTCTGCTGCTTATTATCAGATATGAGGACCTTGTAGGACTTATTAGCCCCACATCACGCACACTAGGTCAGCAGAGCCGGAGACTACACCACTTGTATGCATAATTGTGGATTCAACGGGACATAGTGTTTGTATGCCATAATTTTAATGTCACTGCTTTATTCCACAGATAGAAATGGTTGGTGGTTGATAGTTTTTTTATGAAATAGGTTGGTAATTAGGGTTTCTGATATTGAAGAATTGGGGAGATATTGGGTCTCCGGCAACCTCACTCACATGGCGATACATAACGCTGTCGTTGTTTCAAGCTGTTTTTTTGTAAAACTGTGGTATCTCTCCGGTTGAGCTGACCCATTCGAGCCTAAGCTTGGCTCTCCCACACTAATAGTGTTGTGTGATTGAAATATAGCTTGGATTGGTATTGGCCAAATACCAAATGGTATTAAAGTTGCTGCCTCTATAGTTTTTAAATTAAAATGAAGAAGTTTAGTGTCAGTCATTGTCTACGCAAGAACGCCTACTCAAAAACGTATAGCAGCAAGTCGTCTAGCTACGTAGTATTGCACCACACATTATTTTATATTTTACATGTTTACTTTATTAATAAATTCACTTTTTACATTTCGTTGGATCAAGTAGTTTTCATTATCATCTTCTCCCGAAAAATAATACCCTGGATCAATTCAGAACAGTCATATTATGTTGTTGTCTTGTCTCTCTCTTTCGCTGTCTCTCTTTTTATAACGATTTCGGATTGCCGATGCCATTACGCCCTGCGAGTAAAGGAAGACTTCCTAATACGTTACGTAAGCGTTGTATTTTGCCGTGTGAGTAAGGTTACCGGAAGCCCAATCCTTCCCAAGTCCTAATCCCTCCCCAATTCCTAAATCCCTATTCCCCAAAAGGTCGTCAAAGCACTCGTAACTTTATGTTCTGTTGTTGCGGATGTCTATGGGTCGCGCTGATTGCTTACAATCAGGTAATCCGTGTGCTCGTTTGCCTATTACATAAAAAACACTCCTCTGTTCTCTTCAAGTTGTTTACAATATATGTATACTTACGTACGTACTTCAACGTTACTATTTGTGTATCAAGTTTCTAGGATCCAGAAAGTATTCAGGAGAAATGAAACTCGTGTCGTAACATTTGATATGCAATATATTCGCAATATAATTGCAACATTAAATTAAGGATACCGTCTTTCCCATCGACAGTATCCCTAATATAAATTTTTACACATTGTTTGTATCATTGACATTCTAACCTAACTTTTTACACATGTACACTTATATCTAGCCTACGACTAACGTAACACTTAATCTAAGGAAAGACAAGAGGACAGGAACAGAGACAGATTTATAAATAATATTTGCTAAGCGATTTCCCGGCTTTATGATGCAACGTTAACATTACTTTTGTACAAAAATACTATATGAGCAACGCTCCAGAAGGCATCTTCTGGAGCGTTGCTAGCAAAACTGGCTGAGGAGGAGGCAGCGCTCTATGCGCGAGGGTTGCTACGCCCCGCGCCGTGCGCCGCTTCACCATGTTTCCCTCAGTCGCCTCTTACGACTTGCGCGGGAAGAGAAGCAGCTGGCCCTTCTATGTTTTTCTTTCCTTCCCAGACCAGCATGGAAAGAGAAAAGCATCACGTGGAGCAAGGCCCGTGCAAGTCGCGCGCCTCGCTCCACGTGACAGTGGGGACGGGCCAATTAGTGATGGACCATATTGACCCTAAGGAAGCTCTTCAAAGAGTGATTATGTTGTTTGTAAAGTCAAAGACACCGCCGCATCCATCGTACGACAGCGCTTATAAATCGCGGCCACGCGTATGGTATACCTGCTACCGCGATTTATGGATGTTTTATAAATATATCTAAGTAAAACAAACTTCTATAGCGTGTGCGTCGGATCACAGACTGTTAATCTTACAATAGAAATGGCCCACGCGCTATGGAATGTAACAAGAATGGGATTAACGACTAAGATATGTAACTCTAAGTAAATGTATGTAGGTGTGGTTATAGACAAAATGTTGCACAGAGTATTGATTTATTCGCTGACGGTGATGGTGAGCTGCTTGCTGCGGTTGTTCTCGAAGCGATCCATCGTCTTGATGTCCAGGATCATAGAGATGGAGATGCCCAGTCCGATCAGCATGATGAAGGAGACCATTATACCAGACCTGAGGACAAACACATTATGTTAGTTGAAGTTAAATCACTGCGCCAACCGTACACTAATACCAGTAACAAATATAGCTCACCAGATCGGTACAGTGGTGAAACCGATGCAGTCGAAGGCATCAGCAAACTTCTCAGTGCTGTCCATGAACATCTGCATCTGTTGACATTAAACAAACAACATGAATAAAACGTCACGTCACGTTACATTGTGTCAGAATAATCCGTGTCATGTTATGTCATGATTCCTACCTGTACGTCAGGCAGCGTCAACGTGGCTTCTTCAGACGAGTAGACGAGGGGCAGCGAGCAGTGGTAGGAGCGACCCAGTACAGCAGACGGCGCGTCAGGTGGAGCTGGTGCCTTCAAACTGATCCCCGTCGTCTCTAAGCCAAATTTGACCTCCACTCCCACTGCAGTCCACCAGCCAGCTGACTGCTTGAAGCTGAACTCCAGAGTTATCTGGAAAACATATTTAATTGTAAATAAAGTCATTAACGTTGGTCGTGTTGTTCCCAACTTGGGGAACTCTAATTGTTTGAATGCGCTGATCTCCGGAACTACTGGTTCAAATTGAAGAATTATTTTTATGTTCGTTAGTTAATTTATGGAGGAAGGCTATAAAACATCACGCTAAGATCTGTATGAGGCGAGCAGCGGGTGAAGCCGCGCGAAAGTAGCTAGTTTTCAGTAACTTTCACAATCACAAAAATATAGGACTGAAGTATTCCCCCGCCCACCTTATCCCTGCTGTCCCCGTCCACGAACCGGACGACCATGATGGTGTACAGCCGGGTCGGCTTGATGGTCGGCTGTCCGACCGGAGTGCTCAGCCTGATGGTGCTGCCGTTCGTACGACGCAACTCCGGCCACCCTGACGAATATAAGAGGGCACTCTTGCCTGGCTGGCCTGAAAGAAGACATGGATAAGGATAAAAATCGTTTACTTACCATACTTTAGGTAGACAGTTCCCATGTTAGGAGATACAACTCTATTGCCAAACAACCATTTGTTCTAAATATTTGTTGGTATAACTTCATGCCTGGACGACCTTCAAGAGACCACCTCCGATCACCGTAACGAGAGACGATCTCCGGCCACTGGGCGGCAGAAGTCATTTGACGATTTTCCCCTCATCAAAAAAGGCTGGACACAGTTTAACAGGCTGGAGTAGTTCCTCAGCCACTGCTGCTGTGCAACGTGTCGGTTCGATTCCCGCACAGATTGAAACAAAAAACTGAAAATGTGTGATCCACCGATTGTTGTTTAGTGTCTGGATGGCAAGACACATGATAAAATCTTAGAGTGGATGAACGTTTTTCAAAAAAGAAAAAGAAAGGAAGAGAAATTACTATTGTTCGACTTAGATACTAAGAATACTTATTAAAATTGCACCCTACCTGTAGCATTATAGAGTGCAAACTTCTGCATCACTTTGGAAGGTCTCTCATCATCTGGTGAAGTAGTCGACGATGTCGTGTCGTTCTGCGCCTGGCGTCGAACCCGGGCCCATGGCTCGCCGTCAATGTAATCAGCTGACTGACTTTGTGACACTGAGTTGCCTGAAAATATTCATAACTTTCTTTGTCAATACATTATTTACTTTATTTATAAAACTAAAGAGTTCAAAATCAACTACATAAACCTATAGTTAACATATCGAACCACACCAATATTATCATATTTAGAATTCTACACCAAAAGAAATAAAGTTTAAATTAACTTGCATACCTAGGATGCCAAGCACTCGTCCAGCTCCGTAGATATCCTGGAGCCTTGCGAAAGTCTCCGTCATTTGTGCATCGCGCTCCGACCAGGGTCCTTGTAATGTTAGCACCTGTTGGCAATCAATTTGCGTCCCGTAAAAAAAGAGGTTAAGCAACCCGCATCGAAACCTGGCAAGTACTAATGTGTCTTTTTCCGAGTTATAATTATGTAGATACTTTCTAAGATTATTTAGACACCACAGAGATACGGTAAAGGGAAAACATTGTGAAGAAACACACACAAAAATAATTATAAGTTTGAATTCGCCAACCCCAAGCGTGGTTATTAATGCACAAACCTTCTCCGTGTGAGAAGAGGCCTTTGCTCCGCAGTGCACACTAATAGGCCGATGATGTAAAAACTTACTGACTCTGAGGAGACAGAATCATTATAGTGGGACAAAGTCTCGACCAGAGTGATACCACGGCCTCACAGAAAACCGGCGCGAAACAAACATAGCGTTGTGTTTCGCCGGGTGAGTGAGGTTACCGGAGGTCCAATCCTTCCCCTCCCCAATCCATCCCAATCCCTAAATCTCCAAAACCGTAATCCCTAAAAGGTCAGCAACGCACTCGTAACTCCTCCGTTGCGGGTGTCCATGGGCCGCGCTGATTGCTTACCATCAGGTAATACGTATGCTCGTTTGCCGACTTATTACATAAAAAAGTGATTTGACATAACCTGCTGTATATTACTGAGGTACTATATTTCTTTGAAGAATACTTCCTCAAAGTAATCTAAATGTTATACTTTACTATTATGCACAAGTCCCGCTAGAGGTTAGACAATAAAATCAAAAATGCTGGTACAATAGAATTGACGAACTGATTTAAACTACAGACAACATCGTACACCAATTCCTAAATAGATATTTTTTTATGTAATAGGTCGGCAAACGAACAGACGTATTGCCCAATGGTAAGCAATCAGCGCCGCCCACGGACACCCGTAACGGAGGAGTTACGAGTGCGTTGCCGACCGTTTAGGGATTAGAGATTGAAGAGGCATTGGGGGAGGAGAAGGATTGGGCTTCCGGTAACCTCACTCACACGGCGAAACACAAAACTGTGGTTATTTGCGGTTTTATGTGAGGCCGTGGTATCACTCCGGTCGAAGCCGGCCCATTTGTACCGTAACATGTTCCACACTTATATATATTTCTATTGTACTCGTATTCTGTCCCACTAGCGTTTGTGTAACGAGGAATAGTTGTATCAGTAGTATATATAACAAAGAGGTCGCGTCTCACCGCTCCGTCCCTCTATAACTCAACCCTCTGGCGTCGTTGGTCGTTAGTCTCGGAACACCCTAATATGATCCTCTTCATTATATTAGAGCTTAGGCTTTACTCTTAAATAAGAATACCATGCATCTTATAAATAAATGACTGCACGGTTGGCGCGGTGGCTGGGTAACTGGCTGCTACGCAACGTGTCGCGGGTTCGATTCCCGCACGGAACAACTCTTTGTGTGATCCACAGATTGTTGTTCCGGGTCTGGGTGTGATATGTGCATGTGAATTTGTATGTTTGTAAACGCACCCACGACACAGGAGAAAATCCTAATGTGGGGCAACGTTTTTTTTTTTTTTAAAAAAAAAAAAAAAAAAAAAAAAAATAATAAAATAATAAATATCACATTTTAATTACAGTACCTAAATTAAGTTATAGGTACAATCACTACTTACTTATTGGTTTAGTAAATAAACATGGTGAGAGCGTGGCTTCATCCAGAATGTGTTCAGGACATTTATTTACAAGGAAAATTTTTTTTTTTAATTAAAGTTACACATTTAATAATGTGGACCAGAGAGAATCCCACCTGTGTCTCGTTGCTGATGTAGTCGGGGTGCACGTCGAGGAAGTCCTGCGGCAGCACCAGCGTGCTCTGCCGCTCCAGCATCTTGCGCAGCCGCGGGAAGTACCCGCTGGACAGCGGCACCGAGTCCTGGTTGTTGAACACCACTATCGCCGCCTGCTCTCCGTATATTCGCATCAGCTCATCTTGATCCAAGTACTTCAGAGCTGGTCTTTTGTATTTGTCTAAAGATTTCGGTCCGAAAAATAGGAAGGGTCCTTCTAAGTTGGCTTGGACTGAACACAGGAAGAGCAGGAGAAGCGCCCCGTAGCGACGCATGTTGCTCGGACTAGGCGCGGGCCATGACTGCGAGCCGGCGCGGCCGGGCTGCGCGCCGCGTCCGCATCGACCCGCGCCCAACCCTCGCGCATGCGCCCTGCCACACCGCGGTTATGTAAGTGCCTGCCTAGGGGTTCCTGCACCCACCTAGACTGTCTGTATCACAGATATAGGTCTATCTATACCAGTGGTCTGTATGTATACTAGCTAATTAATTTGACGCTCGAAGCTTCCAGGGGAGATTGAAGTTATTATTGCGACGTGACTTTTTAGCGATGTCAGCTTGTTTGTATTATACAGATTGTAATATTATTATTTATTAATTCTGATATAAGTGAAGGCTCTCACTTCTAGTACATCAGTGTGTGGGTTCCTGGATTTACAATTACTAATTTTAAGTTTGAAATCGCCGATCTACCGTAAGCAAGCGTGGTGATTAATGCTCAAACCTTCTCTGAGTAAGATGCGGTCTTTGCTCAGCTGTGGAAACGTATACTGATGTTGATAGTAAGGTATATCACAGCATAATCCTGTTTGAAAATAAAAAAAAATGTAACAGACTAAATCGGCAACATAGGGCAACAGACAGTGGCGGCTTATAATATTATCATCCCACCAAAAACACTCCGTAAAAAGCTAGCCAAGTCTCGATGGAGGTGCTAGTTTGTCTCTAAAAAGTAATAAAAGAAGTCTAAGGTTCCTTATTGCGATTTCGTTATTATTGTAGTTAATGTTGTGTGACTTGGCCGTTGAAAGGTACACAAGTAACATAAGGGAACAAAACTAGATGCTCCATGACACCATTGCACCAATCTGTTCCTAGATCCGCTACCCATTGACGATTGAAAATTACCACTTGGAAACGAGATGTTATGTTAAACAAAACGTACTAAAGAGTAAGGGACAATTAACAATAAAACACAGACAAATGTAACAAGGAATGTATAATTAAATACTTATGTACAGTTTGGTATCATTAAGTCTTCCACAACTAGGCTAGGTTAGGTAACGCTAGGCGGGGCTACGGCGACGCTAGGCGAGGCTACGGCCACGCTAGGCGAGGCTACGGCCACGCTAGGCGAGGCTACGGCCACGCTAGGCGAGGCTACGGCCACGCTAGGCGAGGCTACGGCCACGCTAGGCGAGGCTACGGCCACGCTAGGCGAGGCTACGGCCACGCTAGGCGAGGCTACGGCCACGCTAGGCGAGGCTACGGCCACGCTAGGCGAGGCTACGGCCACGCTATGCGAGGCTACGGCCACGCTAGGCGAGGCTACGGCCACGCTAGGCGACGCTACGGCCACTCTAGGCGAGGCTACGGCCACGCTAGGCGAGGCTACGGCCACGCTAGGCGAGGCTACGGCCACTCTAGGCGAGGCTACGGCCACGCTAGGCGAGGCTACGGCCACTCTAGGCGAGGCTACGGCCGCAGTAACCTCAGCACGACGCACCACAGTAACAGCAGCGCTTGTGTCGGTGACGTCACCGTCGCTGAAGATGGGTTCGATGAGAAGAAGTACGAATTCTCTGTAACAGCAAATTTCTAGTTAATAACATGATAACAATAGAAATAAGTGTCGTAGAAGTATGCTTCGGCATAAATGGGTCGGCTCAACTGGAGTGGTACCACAGAAGCCACCAGAATTGTATTTTGCCATCCCCAATCCCTAAATCTAAACAACCCTTATATGCCCTTATGTGCCTTATGTATATATAAATGGTCGGCAACGCACTCGTAACTCCTCCATTGTTGCGGGCATCCATGTGCGATTTCGATTGCTTACCATCAGGCAATCTGCCTGCTTGTTATATATTGCCCATCACATAAAAAAGCAGTAATAATCATCACACAAATAGTAAGTAAACAAGTCTTCTTGACAAAAGATCTGCCAAAACCTGTTGAGTGAGGAGTTAGTTTCATTGTGGTAGGTAAGGAACACTCGTGCTAAGATTTATAGCAGTTGGCCGGAGTGGGGTGAGGATCTGTGCAACGTTGGCGCAGCGCCAAACATACTTATGTTTGGCGTACAAGACTATTCAACAGGCTCACAACTTTGTGAGCCTGTTGAATAGTCTTGTAGACTTGCCATTGTTTTTATTATTTTGTTATGACCTAACAACATGAGGGGTACTATCTTGTGTAACCCATAACTAGAACTTACTAAGGCTGACAATAGCGATTAGGTATATTGTGTTTCTTACCAATTATTTAGATAAGTTTCTATAATTTCAAAGACAATGTCCAAATTGGCTCTGAGCAATAAAGATAATCTGAATACACGTTAATTAATGGTATATTTTATTATTTCAGTTGCCAACGTCTTTTAAACACGAACAAGCTATAGGTACTTATTCCAAAAGGTGCATTTAGTGGTATTTTACGTGATTAATAACATTAGTAGTCGTCATCCTCGCTGGCGACTGGTACCTATGGCTGGTTTCATAGGTAGGTACTGTTCAAAAGTAGCTTTTCACATAGTAATTTACCTAGATTCTTAAATACTGCAGAGAGCGTAGAAAAATTACACTTAAAATTCGTTAATATGTTTAAATTATAACCTCAAAATCTGATTCCTTTTTTAAATATATCTACTCTGCAGCTAGTCCGCTATAAAAATACGATTGTATATGAGTTTACTAATGATAGAGACTACAATAAATAAACTTCCGATGCTCATGGTTCCAGGGCCAACCCTGAAGGAACGCAGAGCAATGTCCTTTCTAAGCTAATTTTTTTATGAACATTCTGTTTTTAACATCTTGCAGCAGAAGGCTTTAACTACGAATCTTTCCCCTTCCCAATCCCTAAATTTTCAGAACACTAATCCCAAAATGCCGGCAACGCACGTGTAACTCCTTTGGGGTTAACAGAAGGTTTTAACTAGCAGTCTTTCCCCTTTCCAATCCCTCCAACTACTGAACAACGTTGTAAGAAAACAATCGTCACAATAAAACAATACGAGGCACTGAATGTTCTATGTCGCTCTGTAGTCGCTACATCGACCGGCCGGTCCCAGGCCCTTAGGTACCTACATAGGTACTAAGCCAGACAGAGCTATGTGCTAGAAACACAGGGTGCCTAAAGGTTATTGATCCGGGAAACACCACCACGCATGCGTCCCGAGGTAGTACCACGACAGTTGCACACAACTGCATGTGTCCGCAATCGACAATGCCAATGTAGCCAGAATTTCACAGGGTGCATAGGCAGCTTGAAGTTATGATTTGGTAATTTTGAGAAGCTCCTGACACTAGCTTGTGTTTTTTTTGAAGGAAGAAATCGCCATATAACTCTCTGAAACTCCCCGTATCAGACTTTTACTGACTAAAAACACCACCCTGTTCCTTCTCCTCCTACACGTCCATTATTGCGGAACCCTGGCTGAACATCGGCCCTGCTATTTCCCGACTGTGGTGGTCTGTTGCTTGCTTTAATAATCCATATTTTGTAAATATGGATAGGTTTACTACTTGTATTACTCTTTCTCGTTAAAGCTACTAACCGTATTAATGGAAATATGGCACCGAGATATGCTACTGTTTACCAGAATGTAGTGAAACATATAGGTCAGCTTTCGCAACCCTGACCTCCGACAATGTTTGAAATCAAGGACGTATTTCATCTGACTGTTTAGATAAAGGCTCTCAATGAAATACATAGTACGTACAATAGATCTTCAACTAAATAACTAAACGAAAACCGAAGCGACAAACTTTTATAGTTTACTAGCGACCCGTCGCGGATTTGCGCGGGGGCAATTACTGATGCTGATATTATTACTCCACTATTTAATGGATATACCTAAACATTCCTCTTCAATCACTCTATCGATTAAAAAATATCCGTTGCGTAGTTTTAAAGATTAAAGCATACACAGGGTTATAGGGACAGAGAAAGCGACTTTGTTTTAGTGATCATTGAGCCTTTTTGGTTTTTCGAAAATCCCTAAACATAACATGGAACCTGAAATTGAACCATACCAATATAGAAATATCCTCCAAATATTCCACGATACACTGAAGATATCTGAAAAGAGTTTTTAAAACTGTACTAGTGTGCCCACATGTACACTTCTGTCCACCTCTTCGGGAGTTAAATAAACACGTGATTAAAACTGTTTTCTTGTTTATGATTGGATCGCGGAGATTGATTGGAGATTGAGCGCGGTGCCAACGATAACTTGCCCCTTCCCAGTACTCATATGACGCTTTAATTTCTATATATTTTGACTGTATAAACTCATAATTTTTAGATTGTTGGTTAGCTCGTAACTGGCTAATGTATATGACCAACTGCCTATAACCATTACTTTAACCCGCTTTGTATACATAAGCTGTGAGCCTACCTTATAATAAATAAATAAAAATAAATATGATCCTTCAAGCCCTTGACCTGCTGCGAGTCGCGGCCTGTCTACGAGATAGTATTTACATACATGAATCATTCAGAGAGAGGCATACTGGTCTTTATCTACGCTACATTTATCAAATAGTCTTTGTTTGGTGTAATTTCGAGCCTTGCTTTGGTACGCATATTCGACCGGAATATATCACGTCCTCACAAAAAATCGGCATGAAACCCACCACCAGCATCGTGTTTCGCTATGTAACTGACGTTATCGGAGGCTCAATCCATCTTCCCTTCCCCCAATCCCTAAATCTCCAAAACCCTTAAGCACCCTTAGGACACTTGTAACTCCTCGATATTGCGTATAAAACAAGTAATGAGCAAACGTCGCTTATGGGACCAGGAATTATTTGATAAGAACACTCCTTGCTTGGCAAGCACACAAATTAAATTGTGTAGTATTTTATTTATTTAAAAGAACTGCAATTGGGTAGTTTCCTAGGTCAAAAATAAATTATTTCGACGTTTCAATACAATAAAATATTGAAAAATAACTATACTTTTATTCATCGATTTGTCGATACATTAAGTTTTAGATATATTGTAGCTAATTTTTAAGAAATAAGTAAGCTATTTGACGAAAAAATACTATGACGTCATACCTCAGTTTTTCATACAAATTTCATAGAAAAGTATCGTTTTTGACATTTGGATAAAAGTATTGAATTTGACTAGTTGGAAGCTACCGTATTTTCAGTGTCACGTGAACAGTTCGTTAGGAGGTCGAATAGATCGCGAGTACTACTGCCGAGACCGAGGATACAGATCTCGGATTCAACAGGTTTCTTTTTATATATAGTTGCAATAGGACAAAGCAAGGTTGCCGCTGACTAGATTTTTCCATCATACCTTTGGTGTTAAGATTTACATAAAGTAATCGTTTTCTGTTTCTTTGTGTGCAAATTATTTGTAAACTTATAACTAGAAATCTCGTAGCCGACACACTTATAAATGTATGATCCCTCATAATTCCCGACTTACTCGACCAAACATATTCACTCAGTAATCTCAAAAGAAGACTTGCAAGAAATTCGACACATTTATCAGTAACGTTAGGAAGTGGTATCTAGGCGAAATAGGGGCATGTAAGTAGTAAGTACCAATATGAATTTTTCCGAGTTATAATTATGTACTTTCTATGATTATTTAGACACCACTGACATACGGTGAAGGAAAACATCGTGGAGAAACCTGGACTTATAATTTCTAATTATAAGTTTGAAATCGCCAACCCGCATTGAGCAAGCGTGGTGATTAATGCTCTAACCTTCTCCGTGTGAGAAGAGGCCTCAGCAGGTGCTCAGCAGTGGGCACTTATAGGCTGATGATGATGAAGTAGTAAGTAATAAAATGATATACTTACTTTTCCTATCATTGGGGTCTGTGGTGCCGCACTGCCGGTACGAGATTGTCTTCTTCCTCTTGGTGTTCACGTAGCCAGGGATGAAGATACTGGGCGAGTCGAGCCGACCTGACGCTAGCAATCTGAGAAATATAAAAGTAATTATTTCATTGTGTGTCTTTCTCTGTAGATTGTAGACACAGCATCAATATTAGAATAAAACGAATGTGATGAGCTATTAATATTTCAGATTTAGAATCTGCTTATCATTGAAACGAAGAAATACTCTGGTGTGTTCAATAAGCTTTTTGTGGAGCAAATGTTATCAAATAACTTTTTTCCCAGGGTGTGCCGAGACGAGGGGCTTAGACTCTTGCCGACAAAATACATCTTGTTTCTTCTCCTGCTTTTGGCTGGGGTCGCGGTGCCACATTGCGCCTAAACTGCTACCCCGGCTGAACATCAGCCCTTTAGGGCCCCGTCTGTGGTGGTCTAATGGCTCTTTGAGGCGCGCGCGGAACGCTATGTGTCGCCCGCTCAGGTTTGGTTCTGATCGGGCGGCGAGTTGCCCTGACTCGCCGATCGCAGATCCGCGCTGACGGTGGCCGGAGATCGTTTTTAGATCCCTAACGCTCGAAGTGTCGCTTATTGCGGCGGCTGGGGTGTGAGGAGGAGGATAGCTCTCTCACCCCCCCTGAGGCGGTGTATGGTGTAAGGAGGTAGCAGTACCTGGTGAAGTCTAGCTCGAGCCTGTTGGCGTGTGGGCCGGTGAAGTGCAGCAGGAGCTGCAGGCAGGC